CTTTCTACTGCAGGCAGCCACCCGCACATGTATACTTCTGACACACAGTGTCATGTGTAAACTAGGACTAGCACGCGCACACACACACACACACACACACACACACACACACACACACACACACACACACACACACACAAATGCTGGATGTTCTGAGGCTGCACACTACCAAGGAGACACGATTAAATCCCTGCCGGCAGTTCACCACATCAAACATAAAAGCGATTGTGGAAGGAAAGCAACTCCCACGGATTAGCCCCGGCACGGAGGCGATGCACACGTTATGCCCTCAAGGTGAAGCTGCAGTATGCTGTCAGGTGAAAACAGGTGGCTGTTCAAACTCCACACACATCAGAGGAGACATATTCTAAACTCTTCCTGACCCCAGAATGGGAGCTAGCAGTAACACGGGTGCAGTGCAAAGAGAGAATCCAAACCTTACCCATGCTCTTTGATGACTTGGGTGTAGTTGAGTGAGGTGTTCGGCACTGAGGAAACTTTGTATTCCTGCTGGCTCGTGTTGCCAAGGTTTGGGATTGTGAGGGTGATCCTCTGGTTGTACCTACTGAGAGGAGATTAGCCAGCCAGTTAGCGCTGCTGAAGCATGGCATACTTGAAATGGCATGAAAAGATAAATCTCTCCACAGTTACCATTTCTGCATTTTGAATTTATAAAAAGTGTTAATAATGTCTTACTTTATATAAATATTAAATCCAGATGAATACATGTATATGCATCAAGTTTGTCATGTCTCATTTTCCGACCATAATACCTACATTTTAAAACAGAACATGTGCAAAAGTCGGAATGGACCATTCCAGTACCTCAGCTCAGGTTATCTACCAATATCCATTGCCAATGCAATACCAGTGCTCCCCTTTCCTGAATTTTAAATCTAAATACCTCACTTCATGCATCTCACTGAGATCATTTTTATGTGACGTAACTTTTGGACAGTGACTGAGTATTTGTAGCAAAACCTTTATGTTTTTAGTAATGATAAATAAACTGTATTCAATTGTGGGTCAGCCACGTAATAACTCCCACCCAATCCACTACATAAGGTTATTATCAGCCCTGATACTGATCAGATCAGACCATCCTGAAATAAACTTAGACATAGAATAAACAGGCAGCATGAGAGGTGCCTCTCTGGAAAGCAAAAGTCTAGACAAGAGTAAATATTTATTGATCAGGCAATAAAGACAGAAACAGCAACTGCGTGTGTTTGCTCATGCTGGTCAACATGCAGTTATTACCTGCGGTTAGGTCTGAAGAGCACATACTCCAGTGCGTGCGTGGAGCTGTTGGCGGTGGAGATGAAGCTGAAAAGAAGGAAGACGAGGTCGGGCACACCAAGCAGCTGAGTGAGCTGTTTGTGGATGATCTGTTCCCTGAACGACATCTGCTGCTGCGTGTTCCTCCGGAACCGGTACCAACCAATGACGTTCTGCACGGCCGAAGAAACAGCTCTTTTAAAATGCGTTTAATCCAGTTAGGTCTCATGAATCAAACCCCATTTAGGATGAAGCAAAAATCAAACACAAAACTGAGACTAATAATTATGAAACCTGTACAGCTGCTTATTTAAAATACTTTGAATAGAAAAGGCAGCATAATTTATTTCAATACAACTGTACATGTAGTATAATATATTTGTTGAAATCAGGACTTTCCACACAGCTAAATTCAATTTATATTTTGATATACAACAATCAATCACGCTCTTAATAGTTTGCAATCACTTGTTAGATTATGATACAACTTAAATCAAAAATCTGAAAAAATTAAATTCATGCCCGATTTCAGATTCATGTTAGTGTAGCCTCGGTTTAACAGTATCTCTGACATTCAGCAGGACATCAGCCACAGTGTATGTTGAAATGACGATTCACTCACTTTCCGCCTATCTTTAAGAATGCTGTTGAGATTTTCTTCTTTGACTTTGCCTGCGTAGTCATAAAAGCTGATGAAAGGGAGAACAAACAAACACGTAAGTTGAGACTGATTCATCATGTTCCTACTCCTCCGCTGCCTTGGCCTACTTCCCTTACCCAGTCCTGTCTGATGGGGCCATCTACTGTCCAATGTCAAATTAATTCAGCCTGTGCCAAAATGGATGTAAGGTAAGTGATGTTTCCATTTAAACTGTCAGGGACAAAACAACAATACGTGCTCAGAGCTCTCGGCTCTCTACGTGCATTAGGTAACAACAGCTCCTATAAAATGCAACTACTTAACCTTGTTATGCATGTGTTACAGCAAAGTTTTGTCATGTTTTCCAAAATTAAATGAACATGGCCGGCTGTTGGCTGACCGTTTTTGTCCCCCTCCAGCAGTGTATGTTCAACAACTCTACATGAATGGATAACTGATGGTCGAGAGTAACAAGCTCATATCTTACCTAAATAACTGTGCACAAGGATCATGGTTATGGATTTCTGTTGGAAACAAACAGTGACAGATGTTTCAGTTAAATACCATCATAGGTGCAATTCTTTAAAAGCTGTCATTCACATAGGTATCTTTATCATTTTCCTAAAGGCACCTGCAATTTGTATGGCCAAAAAATTTATGTTTTGACCGTTAAAGCGACACAAACAGTGAACCTGAACTCACAAAACAGTAACGCTTCTGTTACTGATTGTTATATTGGCTTTTAGTTTTAGTTGTCTTAGTATACAACACAAAAACACGTACCAAGCACACTCATATTTCAACCACTTTAAACAGAGCTCATTAGCATAAATCTGTGCACTTCTGTGACTAAAACAGAAGGATAAGAGCCCAGCAAAAAGCTGCTTATTGGCATAATTTCTTTCCCAGTTACATATTCACATTCAGATGCATCCAAACATGCTTCTCCTAATAGGACTGAGGGGGCAGAGGATAGATTCAGGAAAGAGTAAAACCATGTAATCAACACAACTGCAAAACTGTATGATCCATCGTTAATATTTTAAACATATGGCCATATTTTCAGATGAACATGTTATACTGATTCCAGTGGCTCTCCTGTCTTTAAGCTGACCAAGAATCACTCAAACTGAGTGTGGCCCCTTCTTTAAATGTCCCGTTGTCATCAGTCTGCTTGACTGATACTGAAAAATGTGCTGTGTAACAACTGTATTTGTAAAGCACAAGTGTTATTAATAACCTTAACAATGGCTCTGGTGTTTTCAAGTGTCCCGAGCACTGTACCAGGACCTTGACACTGAAGCACCTAAATAGAATCAGCCATCATTGTTACTATTATCATTATTTTACACCTGTGCTTTTCCCACTATGATATATCAAAATGTCTTCTGGGAAAAAGACCAACGCAGTTGTGATCCTATGGACTTCTTTACCGCCTCTTCAGGCTTCTGTCACAGACTGGCATCGATCAGTTACTTACTGCTCAACACACCACAATGTTATTGGTTTTGTTTCAGGTCTTACCTACTACCTGGAGCAATTCTGCACTGCTGATCTGTGTGTCACTGATGCTCACAGTCTCTTCTTGCCTTACATCTCCTAATAGGAAGCCCTCCTGTGCAAATACATTTGGACAAAACTATGGTTAGGGCACGTTAAGTCAAATTATTTATCAAGGAAAAATGCCAAACACACTCTGGTAACAACTTCTCAAATGAGAGTATTTGCTGTAGTCAGATATATATTGAAAATCTTTGAGCTTTGTTGCTGTTGATTAAACAAAACATTAGCTTTAAAGACGTGGTGTTGGGCTCTGAGAAATTGTGATAGACATTTTCACTATTTTTGGATATTTATATGCTAAATAATGTGTTGATTAATTTAAAAAATACTGGATTTCCTTTTTAAAAAATATAAATTGCTGCCTAAGAGTAATGTGATCTACTATATAGAATAAAGGCTAGCCAAATGAATAACATTTTCATGAAATGCACATGAGACAATACTATCAGAAGCACTGGATCATAATCAAGGCATTCTTCCAAATCTACTTTTTATTCTGAGAGTAAATTAAGTTGTTTATTCCTTACAAGACGTGGCAGGTGGTGCTAAACGACAGCGCTGCCATTACTCTCCATGCATGTCAGGAATGCAAGCAAACTTGTAAACAGCAACTATCCACCTGTCCAGGCCGACTTTAAAAGTCTCGACAAGAGGAACAGGGACGTAAACAGTGCTGACGTTAGCTTCGTTTGCTCTTAACATTTGTATTTCTTTCCAAACCCTAACCACAAAGCATTTCTCGTCGACTGCGTTTCTAAAGCCCAATAAAAAAGAAAAATACTCATACACGTCAGTTACTTTGTGAAACGCTATTGACTTAAATGCCAGTAAGATTAGCTAAGTGGCTAACGAGCTAATCTAGCATTGCAGACACGACAAAAACAAAATGATTTAATGTAACCTAGATAAGAAAATCACTGCGTTAGGTTCATATTTTTTATGGCCCACTAAACCGATATCAGGTAACAGATGGAGGTGACTGTAGTCATTTGCGACACCAGTACACGGAAGTCACTTGACTTGGCAGCTTAGCTAACATGCTAGATAGCTAACTACAGAGTATTTCCTGGAACTCAAACTTTCCCAACAGGTATTTCTCATATTGATACAGCACATAATCGTATATATGATTTGTTATATATAGTGTTACAACTGGATATTTAACACATATGCAGCTGTAACACATGAGGTCATCTTAAAATCACCAGTCATGTCTTCATGTTGCTGTAGCTGCACAGTCTGGTTGAGCCATACCTGCCGGTAAATAGACGGAACCAATACTAGCTAGCCAGCAACAGGATGATGACACTGGAAAACAACACAAACTAATGGCGTTGGTGAACGATTACACACATCGCCGAGCCACGCACGCTATAGCAACCATTGCCTAATAGTTTGTCAACATAACTGTGAATACTTACATGATCTGAGTTGCTGTTCGCGCTGTGATAACACACAGAACTAAAAGTATAACCTGAAATGGATGCCGCCATGATGGAAACATCCCTATCAATCCCGATGCCCCCTGCGGTTGCAAGCACGCGCCTCAGGCGCAACGTCTTCTGGGAACTGTAGGCGACGACTTGACAGCCTCCTCTCCAGCATGGACGTACCCACAGACTGCGTGGACGTGGAAAGTGGAAATACGTCGGACCAAGAGGACGACAGAAGCTCTGATAACGATTTTGGACCTTCAAAACTCGGAACTAAAGAACAGTAAGTAGTCTTTTGAACCTGTACTGGCGTTATGGCTGGTTATTATCGTTAGGCTACATGCTAATTAGCTACAAGATAAAACGACTATGCTATATTAACTGACATAACCAGAGCCACCACTTATTTGTGCACTTTATCCACATTGCAGTTCCACAATAAGTGTTTCATTAATTACTGACAAGTCCAGCATGTTGTGTTGAAAGCAAGAAGGAAGCTGAATTGTTTACAAGACAACAAGAGCTGTTAGCTTAGCTTTAAATAGAGAAATATGTAGCTCCCTTCTGTTTAGAGAAGATATAGTGTCACCTTAGTTTCCCTGTAACGATTAAACACTTTTTAATGGTGACGTAAGTTTATAAACTATAAGTCAGGCTATTTGTTGTTTGTTGTATGTTTTCAATATAGCAATGTGTCATTCGTGTTTGTATCCTTATATAACTAATTGTCAGTGATTGTCCTTTTCTGCAGTTGGGAAAATGCATACCAGAAAGAACTTGAGACGTTCAAAGACATTGGGGATGTTGGTGAGATATGGTAATCATTCATTTATAGTCATTGCAAGAACTAACAACATTTCCACTGGTTATTACAGTATTAGGATTTGTCATGCTAAAATGTGATGATTCCTAAAAAGAAATTTGCTTAAAGTATTATTAGTGTCTGTCATTAGTCTGGCTCATTACTAAAGTCTGTGTGTTTCTGTTTTCTTGTTAGGTTTGGTGAGGAGAGCATGAACCGCGTGCTGCGATGGATGGACAATGCTAAGATCCCAGAAAATGCTGCCATCCTTGACATCGGCACTGGAAATGGAGCCTTCTTAGTTGAACTGGTGTGAGAACAGAGTAAAAATACATTGTTTTGACACTATTATGATTTTTATTTCATGTGCACTTAATTTGAGTGTCATTAAAGAGTCAGGTCACCAAAATCAGAACAAATCACAAGTCACAAGACGAAGCTTTCGATTTACTGGTCCATCTACATCCAAACCCTCACCTACAGTCATGAGCTTTGGGTAGTGACCGAAGGAATGAGATCGCAGATAAAAGCGGCCAAAATGTATTCCTCCGTGGGGTGGCAGGGCTCAACCTCAGAGATAGGGTAAGGAGCTCAGACATCCTGAGGGAGTCAGAGTAGGGCCGCTGCTCCTTCCCATCGAAAAGGGGTCAGTTGAGGTGGGTCAGGCATCTGGTCAGGATGCCTCCTGGGCACCTCCCATATGAGGTGATCCAGGCACATCCCGCTGGTAGGAATCTCCGAGTTAGACCCAGGACATGCTGGAGGGATTGCATATCTCATCTGGCCTGGGAACGCCTTGGGGTCCTCCAGGAGGAGCTGGAAAGCTTTGCTAGGGTGAGGGACGTCTGGAATACTTTGCCTGGCCTGCTGCCCCCGCAACCCGGCCTCAGAGAAGCGGATAAAATTGGATGGATGGATGGATGGATGGATGGATTCATTTCCAAATACTATCTGCATGACTAAATACCTCTAGGAATTGAGTGGAAAATATGTTTGTGACCTGAGACTTTAATCAATAGTTTGTAAATGACTGTTGGGTTTACTGTGATTGTTAACAAACTGCTTTTCTCAGACATTTCTATAACAGATGATAACCTTTGTTTTTTTGGTTATTGTTTTTTTGTCAAGGCGAAAGAGGGATACATGAATCTGACTGGTATAGATTATTCTCCAGCGTCTATAGAGTTGTCCAGAAATGTTCTGCAGATGGAGGATGTGACGGGTGTCACTTTAAAGGTGGGTTCATCTTTGTTTGTCATTGAAACTATAGCACACATTTAACTTAGAATAGAGTCCCAACACATTTAGCTACCACAGGGACTGCAGTCTGTTCAAGGTCACATGATTATTGAAATAAAAAGTAAGCAGCAGTTAGGTAATGCAAATTGATACCAGACATACTTTTGTATTGGGATTTGAAAGGTTTGTGGGTTTTGCAGTAAATAAGACTGTTGGGAATCAACATTTTCTGCAAAAATTAAATTCACGTCACTTGAGCACTGCAGAGTTATATTTTAGTGTATGTAGTGGATCTTTATGCTGTGCACAAATCAGCCATTGATACAACATTAATCCCCTTTATTTCTAAATGTCAGTGATACAATATAGCTTTCAGCATACTGTGAGCCAGCCTGGGAAGGTCAGAGGAAACTCTCCTGTGTTTACCATGTGGGAGAGTTGGATAGCAAGAAGGCCCTGAAACTGATGGAAGTCTGCCCACCATTCAGATTATACCACCTCAAATGAAGTGGCAGGATTTAACACATCTTTTAACATATACACGCTAGAAAAACAAGTTATGAATGCTGGCGTGGCTATAAGGGATGTGACGAGTGAGTTTTCCTCTCCTGTACGCATAATAGACTTACAGGTATGTTATATGCATCACACGCCTATGATGGTGTGTGCTTAGCTTGGACAGAAAGCTCTCTACTGAAGTCAATATTGACCTTAGCTGGAGAGGGGGAGCACAGTGTTTGTATGAGTGTGTGTGTGTGTATGTGAGAGAGAGAAATGGTATTTTGGTATTTCTTTAATACAGCAAAATGCCAAAATAATTTATGTGAATGTGCTCGTGTGTATGTGTGTGTGTGTGTGTGTGCATGTGCAGCCTTTAATGGAGTTTGAGGGAGTGTGAGGAGTTTCAGCCACATGATAAAAAAAAAGGCTTCTTCAACAGGTTTTACCTCAAAGGTCATTCTTAGTCTCAAATCTATGTCAAGCCCCGTCTCCATGTACATAAGTCATCGTCTACTGCTGCTGTGACACATCACCTTCACACATTCCTTCATCGTCTTCCCAGTTTTTTCCATTTTACAGGCTCATACTCAAATTTAACTCCCGGCAGTTGCAGCAATATAGGCATTTTTGTCTCTAGTGAATCACTGTTGATCATCTGGCATAAATCAGACATTTTGTGACCCATGGTTTGTGAGTATGTGGCTCTGGAGCTCTCTCCAGAGATCTGGTGTTCTGCCCTCTGTCCAGATAAAGGGCTCCTTTCACTGGCGGTATGGTAGGTCAGCAACCTTCGCAGAATTAACCGCTGTCCTGTCAGCAGTTGGGATTTAGTTTTAAAGTTAACCAGTGAGGTGTAACACATTTAATCTTGCTGGATGCTGAAAGATGTCTTCTTTAAGTAACGATATCGTTCACCCTGCATCTAAAGAGCCAGACTTTTCCTTAACTTCTTACTTTTTCTTTCTTTTAGGAGATGGATTTCTTAAACTGTCGAGGGGAGCTAAAGGGTTTTGATCTCTGCATCGACAAAGGAACATTTGATGCAATAAGCTTAAACCCAGACAACTCTAAGGAGGGCAAAAAACTCTACGTCCAAACTCTAAAAGACGCTCTGAAGGACCAAGGATTCTTCTCTATCACCTCCTGCAACTGGACAAAAGAGCAGCTGCTAGAGCGATTCAGTGAAGGTGAGGGGAAACACTGAAGTTAATTATTGCACATCTGATAATTAGGGTTGCATTATTAACATATTATTGAAAACACATTATGGCCAAATTGCAGGAGCTGAATTTTTTTGATAAAGGTGAACTGTGTCACAACATACCATCATACATGAAGCATCGTGGTTCTACTAAGAGGCCTACAGATCATACTCCAGACATCAGGAAATATGCGTGCTTGGTACACACATCATTGTCTGTTTTTTCTGGAAAATGAAATGCAGAAATTACAATTCCCACTAAAATTACGACCCATTGCAATCACAATATGTTAAAATAATCCCAATACAATTGTTTTTGCATATCATGCAGTCCTACTCATAATTTATTTCGATAGATTCTGTTGAATATTGTAAATATTTTTATTAGAGAGCGCTTAAGTTTCATACTCTTTACTGTTATCCAACAATTAAATTGTAACTGTGATTCTAGTCGAATGCACAATGTGTGTAACTTTTACTACCGTCCATCATTGCTCAGGACTGTCTTATTTGGCTGTGCAGCTCTCCAACAGTCCTCCACGGCTGCTTGACTCTCCACAAACCAACACAGTCAGACAGGCAGTTCTCTATAAACCCGACCTTTGATCAAACATGTAAACTAGGATTATGTCGAGTCATTCCTTATGCATTAGATTACCTTCCTATTGCTCAAACAATTTCCAGTTTATTATTTTCTGGCTGCCCGCAGTAGTTTATTCATCTTTTAAAGTATTGCAACAGGTCTTAGGCAATATGCTATATTAAGAAATACACATTATTGGTGTTGGCATGTTCCTCAGTATTGTTCGAAAGAGCCACACACTTTGCAAGCATTTGACTCAAGAGAAGAGGTTTTGGATGAGGCTTTGGTCAGAGTCAGTCTTAAAGCAGATGATGAGAACGACAGCTACAGGCTCTACATTACAATGAATTAAGACGCAGGTAAATATGTATATAAATAGACCTAAATGGCTGCTGTTCTGGTTAATGTTCATACCTGAGTTTAGAAGTAATGCAGCACATAAAATAGTCCCTTCCTCAGGAAATCGATTGTATATTCTTGTGCCACAGTACAATGTGGTTATCCACTTTGCAGTTGTCACCAAATAGGTAAAAATGAATAGCTGCCTGGAGGAGAAAACACATTGAAAATATAAAAATGTAACATGTTTGCTTGTCACGTTAAAGGTTCCCTGTGGAGTTTTTGACCTGTAGTAGCACTACGGAGCTGTTTGTCAGTGAGTGGGTCGTCGTGTGTTTATCTCCTGCATGTGCATGAGGGTGGAGTGATAGATAGTCTTGCCAATGGTTTCACACGATCCAACTAATTTACAGGTGGTGGTAATGTGCCAAGATGTGTTGCAATGCGCCAACATAGAGAGGAGAGAAGAAGACTGCTAAGTAACAAAACAGTACTGGATTCAAATAATTGGTTTTGCTAATATTTTATGAGGTGGGAAGTACATTCAACATGTTGTTAGAGCTCAAGGATACACACAGTGTTTTTTGTTGTGTAACACTGAATGTAAACATAATGTGTTTGTTCACATGAAAACTCCACAGGGCATCTTTAAGTGGATTCGTGCAGTGTCGTAAATGTGTTAAAACAATGGGAAAACATGTTTCGTTTTGTTGTCTGACCCTCAGTCAAAACACAGACACCGCTCTACAACCGTGACAGTTACCTGGCAGGTTGTTAAGCTGCAGGCAACAACAGCCTTGTAAAGTCAGAATTTCGGCAAGCTTCCACGAGCTGTCACTCTTCTCAGTGTAGTCACTCTGGAGAGCCTGCAGGGGGCCGAAGGGCCATGAGATCTCATCTGTCACGCTGACAGCCCGTCTTTACTAGGCCCCAGGAAGCACCACAGATGGTGGATGGATAGTTCTTGACTCCCAGTTCTCCTCCTCACCCTGCTGTAGCCATAGTCGACAAGAAAAGATTCTAGGCATCTGTGTTCAAGGCACCATGTTGATGTTTTGGCAGTGTTTTCTGACCTGCACATTTTTTTCTGTGTTGCCTCACAGGATTTGAGTTTGTGCAGGAGCTGCCTACACCAAGTTTCCAGTTTGGGGGCAAGACGGGAAACAGTGTGGCAGCACTCATCTTCAAGCGAGTACATTGAACCACAGGCCTGAGAGGATACTTGTTTTGTTTTTGTGCCACAGTTTTTTCTGTTTATCACAGGAAATCATAAAACCCGTGCAGACTTTTTTATACAATACCTCATCAGATAGTATTTTTTTTTTGTATTAAAAAAAAAAAGCTGTGTAATGAAGCAGACATGCAGTTTAACTGACTGACAGTTATCTTGAAATAAATAATTTTTGTTTTGTTGCTGTTGTATTAACTTTGCATTGATCCAAAGTGCTTACTTTGGGCACTTTTGTATGAAATTGATTGTAAATATTTGTGATTCATTTACAGAGACAATTAACAAGATTATTTAATGCAGTTTCAGTTTCATGGTTGCTTTAAAAACGGTGCTTCGTGCTAAAACATACCGAGCAGTATCTTCTGCGGTATTCCAGAAAAAGTACTTAAGTAATTTTTTTTTATCACAGTAGCTTTTAAAATTGTTTTGATGCATACACAGGAATATCTGTTAACTCATGACTTTTCTGTAGATTACAAAACAAAGCCTTAATCTGTTGCGGAAGATAATTGCTGAATAACCTGTGTGTCTGCTGCTTTTACCTCTGAATAACATCTTCTCTTTTGTATATGAACTCCTCACATTTTTGTACCCACAGTACTTACTTGACTGTAATATTACTTTCCTGTGGCAACTTTTAATAATAGTTCAGCTGGACATTTATTTACTGTTTGATTTGATTAGCTACCATACACCTAGAGGTTAAAATGTATTTCATATTCTTTCTATAAAAGGGCTAGAAGATATACACAATAATTTGTACTGAATATGTTTTCCCTTTATTCCATAAATCATCTGATAGGTCCCCAAATTACTTCTCAAGGACCCCGTTGAGAGTCCTGACCCACAGTGTGAAAACCACTGTCCTGTCTGACCAGGTAGTTAATTGCATCATGTGAAAAATAGCCCGTACCTAATTGGCTAAACTGGAAACCAGCAGAGCCTGGGGTCCCTGGGACCATGATTAAGAACTTCTGACATAATGAATAAACAAGAGGCCGTGTCGTCTGTGGAAGAGAAGCCTGTCTGCCATTTCCTTTCTCAATGGCATCATTAATAACTGTCAAACTCAGTCCTAATTGCAAGCCGAGCCAGGGGTCCAATGGGAGCCGGCGATGTTGGGGCACGCTGTTGAGTAAACACATGGAAGCTTTACAAGAATTACAGCCTGGAATTTTACAAGGCTCTGTATATCCTGCCTGGATGTGCATGTTATGCCCACGTTTACAGCTCTCACAGAAATTTTCTCATGAAGTGAAATGTTCATTAAATATCCCCTCCTTTACTTTTGTCAACATTCACTCACACTGTCTTTAAAACATCTTGTTAGGCAGGTCTTTGAGTGTTTTTAGTGTCAATAGATTTTAATATGTACTGAAGTTACCCTGTTGAATATTCTGCAGCCTACTCATTTCCCTTGCACAGGTGATGTTGCTAAGGAACAGACAACACCACAATCCTGTTTGCCTAAGTAAAGTCATGCGTTATTTGGTCAGTTTTTCCATGGAGCATCATTCCTAACACAGGATTGCACTGAATCAGAATCACACGAGGAATCTGCTTTGGTATTTTGGTGCATAATGGCGACAATAAACCGAGAGAAAAGAAAAGTTCTCACAGTTAAATTATCATTCAGACAAATCACTTATCTATGTTAATCTTTACTGCTGGGGAAGTTTCTTGAACTCACTGTGCTCATGATATGGTGACAGTTATGTTACTTGTGTGTATGTTCGTTATTTTGAAACTGGGTCTATCTTGTCTCTGACACATGCCCCACTATAGACTGTGGCTTCAGGAAGTAAAACTGTCTTGTTATAAGGGCCTATTTTAATCAAAGGGGAAGTTGAAGCCATTTCTTTATGTCATCTCAAGAAGTATTCTCTTACCATCCACCATGAAGTGAAATAAAACATCAAACTGTGGATATTGCCGGGCTGGACTGAGCTGCACGGTACATTTACCACCGTCAGCACTTTCATGGCTTTGGGGTTGGCACACGTGTCCGAAGCTACACTTTTATTCCACTCATAATATTAACCTATAAGGGTTTCAGACTCCATGCCATAGCCCACTGGCTGCCCCACCAGCATGAATACCACGCTTTCATTTTAATCTCTCAAGTGTGATACTGCAAATATTTATGTTTTCTCACTCCATCTCCCTGGAAACACGTTTGAAGTCTCTCCCTAATAGGATTTTCGTGGATTGATTGAATTACTCCACCGTGTAGCAGTGAAGTTTTCCATCGCAGGAGATGCCAATGTGGAAGTGGGAAAGATTCCGCTTTCAAGGCATGGCAGACTTTTTCACACTCTGTCTTTTGATGAATGACCACCTTGGCTATATAACAATGTGATATATTAAATCCGGTGAGACTTTGAAGCCACTTTTATCGACTTTTTTACTTTTTTTGACGCATGTCTGGCTCATTTTTTTAGGTTTGTTGCGGCTATAACAGACACGAAAGCGACCAAGAGGCATAGTAGCAACTTTTTGGGTTGGTTAAGTTGTATAAATGTAACGTTCTTTGTAGTTTTCACACGTCAACAATGGTTTGCTTCATTAACATCAATGAAAAGTATAGTAGTAGAAAGTAGCACATGAGAATTGTAAATGCCTGAGGGAGGACTGGAGCGGAACGTACCAACTTGGAAGGGGTGACGGGGGTTTGTGTAAAACAAAAATTGAGCTCGTCTGTTATCACACACTAAAAAGTTTTGTTGCTTTCAATAAAAAGTTAATCTTTAAGACTTAAAGTGTGCTGTAACTTAGTAGTCGTGTTGCCAAACAAGTTTGCTGCCCGGTCGCGTCTCTTCCGGTCTCCCCCCTTATACTTGGTTCGTCCGTACGCGGATATTGTTACAATCAGTGCTGAGGGCTGAAAGCAGCAGCGAGCTCTCAGCTGCTCGCAGTCCGGCTTAGTCCTGCGTTGGTGACGCTGAACTGACGGCTGCAACTGCGACAAACTTTGTGATTTTTCTTTTTTGGTTCCTGCTTTCCCTTTGTCGAAGATGACCTAACTTCGAAAGAGCTCTGCTGGCCAGGTAGTAGGGCTTTTTGCTCAGATACACGATAGTTATTACTGTGTTTAGGCACGCATCAGTGTGTTTCTTCTGCTATGGAGTTTACTTTGTCTGCTCATACCGGGTTTCCTCTGTGACTGCTGGGTTACTATGGGGCAAAAATCAGTAAAGTACATATAAAGGCATTATGGCAACCAGTCTGCTACCCTTTGAAACCAGACTAATCTAAAAAAAAAAGTGCAGCTTCACTCTTTATGGTTGTCACTTTATTGACTCCAGCTCACTTATTCCAACATTTCTGCACTGAATCAGCTGCTGTGTTTACAGAGAGTCTCAGTTTGCTCGCCCAGCCCCACCAACCTGTTGCTGCATTCAAAGTTACTGCTTAATAACTCTGCTACAGAGGGGCTGCACACATTAACCAAGCTCTACGAGCCAGCAAACTCCCCCTCCATCTATCAACCGTGGCAATAAAGCCCAAGCTGTTGTCAGATACAGTACCTGTGTAGGTGGAGAGAGGCAGTGTGGTTGCCTTGCAGCTCACAGTGACATACGACTCCTCACCACAACCTGTGAGAGGAGACTGAGAGCAGCTTGAGTGCTTTGAGTCATACGGCCTGGCTGCATATCTCTTTCACAGATCTCCACCACACATTTAGGTTTGGTTGATATTGAGATTGGGTTCCGTATTAACAAATAACCATGCATTTCAGAGCATATTATATCATTTATTAAGCTGAAGAGGTTGACACTATGAGCCACTTTGTTCCTCTTTAGTTTTATTTCTGTTTTCAGAGCATATATAATTTGAGTCCAATCCAAATATACATTGTTTATAGTCTTTTGTTATGACTACATGAGTCATACACACTGGGTTTATGTCATTATTCATGTATGAAACAGAAACCAAGCTCAGCCACGGTGATACTCATAAGACCATGAAGAATAATTGTCTTCTTATCTCTTTTATATGTGGACATATTGTTGGCTGTCATTGCAGGACAGGGTTCATACTCAATTTTGAAACTACTTTACAGCCCCTTAAGTTCAAATGAAAGGCAGCATGGAGTGCCATACTTTACTTACTATTTGTCAGTGTTGTTTCCTTTCCTTTGTGGGTTAGGAAGTAACTGTTGGTGCTTATGTTTTGCCCTCTCTATTATTGCACGGCAGTTGGTTGATCTTTGTGGACACCATAAACACAATACCACGGAGAACTGGTTTGGTACCAGAGTACCCTAATTGAAAATACCTGGAAATGTTTCTCGGCTGCCACCATGGCAGCGGTCGTCCTTGACTTGCAGGGGGATGGCCGGCAAGTTTGGTTAACTAAACAGGAAATGAGTTTTCTCAAGAATCCTGCAGAAAATGCTCTCGCAAAATGAAAGGTGTAGCTGCAGTTCAGGATGGAAGTGAAGTGGAGAGAAAGCTGGCTGCAAGATTTAATCACATCAGCTCTAGTGTCTAATTACAAAGGGGATGTTGATAAATGCCTAATGTTTACTGGTGAGGCTCAAAGGAAATCTGTTCTGAGTATTTCTGATCCACCTCTCCAGTTTTGGGAACATTAGGATGACTACACCTGGCTTTGATTTTTAAGAAAATAAACCAGTGCTGGAATGTTGCAGCTTGGCGTGTACAAGTTAATTTTATCTGTCAAATCATCAGGTGAACCTGTGAATGTGTTGTTTGCTGTACCTGTTGATTTTATCTAATGGTGCCAGAGCTTGAGTTTCGTTACATCCTTTTGAAAATCTGTTCCTCCAAACTTCAAATATTCATTAGCGTTTAATACTGCCGTAAAACAAACCAACCATACAAGACTGCAGCCTAACATTAGCAAAACTACTTGTTGAATCTGCAATTATCTGATTACTGATTATGATGAAACGGAAGTATTTGGTCTTGTTCAAAGGAGGTTCGCTACCCAGCCCAGTATCTGCCTGAAGAGGAAGAAACACTGGTTGCTGCTTGTCACTTTTAGCTTTTAATGTTTATGCACTTGTACTCAACAACAGCTCTGGCATTGTTAGCCCATAGACTTGTTTTGGACATGCTTCAGACATAATTTATGGAAGCAATTAAGGCCGGTGGGTTTTTAAAGGGGATCACTCTGCACTCCAGTGTGTGTTCAAGACGTGCACATTTGCAATGTCTTTGTGTTGCAGGCGAAAGGCCCTATTAGAGCTCCATTCTGTCTGTGGGCAGCTGTGTGCCTGTGTGCTGAGCGAGCCACTGGTCCATTCTCCGTCTGTGTGTACAACTCTCCCTCAGTTCACACACTGACACACACTCTGCTATTTTACTTGTCTCTCAGTTTCTCTCCCTTTTTGACTTTCTGTATACTTCAATCACACTTTTTGCATGTTTTTCTGCTTCATCTTTCTGTCGTACTAGTACTGTGGCTCTCTTTCTTTCACTTGTTCTCTGGCCCAAGGCATTATGCAAAGCTACCAGAAAAGGATTGTTAGCCATGCTTGTCTTTGCCTCCATACTACTCGCTATTCATTTCAGAAGCTTCCCTTTTCTTCTCTGTGACCTGCAGTCATAACTGCTGCTGCTTCAGACACACTGAAACTCCCACCACTTGGCCTCAGGGAGTTAAAAACAAATATGTTATTATTTCATGTTGTCAGTGTACTCCTTATTCCTCATTTTGTATATTCCTTCCTCATTAACATGATAGATTTGTAAGTCTGGCGTCTCGACGCCCACAGAGCCAAAGACCTGCAGCTGAAAAGAAAAGAAAAGAGGCATTCTCACATACACCAGAGAAGCACTCCCCCAACCCCCCAAGACAGGCACCAGACTCTACTTAGAGATGAAAAGCATTCTGGGATGCAATAGGAAGGCTCCTATCAACACACCCCACTGTGGTTTTGCTATGTGGTGATAGTGAGGAATCATCTTAAGTTAAATAAAAGAAGTTGTTGACTCTGCTTTTGCTTTTTGACTGTCAAATGAGTGACTTTATACCCTCGGGGGTTTAACTCGATCTCCATCTAAAAAAAGAAAAAGCACTATCCTGTTTATTTTTCTGAGCTGCTTTGGATTGGCCTCTCCTCAAAATGGCAACCATCACATAGCTCCTGACTGAATCATGTTGTGTGGAGGTAGCTTTTCTTTAGATCCAGTCTGGTGAACCGATCCCCCATTTGCAACTGTAGAAAAAAAGAGAAACGAAAGCTTCGGTTAGTGTTTGGCACAGACAGCCTGTATTTTTAGAACCTGTTTTCCACTGTTGTGACAAAACTTAAGCATCCCATCCAAGTTATAGGACTTTTACAGTTGACTGCAATAACTTTTTCCTCGTACTTACCCGACACTTAATATGTAACATCCTCTAAAAGTGGCTTTTTGTGCAAGCCTGGGCTTGAGAACACAGCCCATGTGTCCTGACAATCCTGCTTGCACAATGAAGGCCAATTATCACGGCGACATGTGTCATAACTCCCAGCTGTAGGCCTCT